CTCTGCCTTGGCTCTCTGAACCCAACAGAGCCTCATTTTCCTGCTCTGCAAAATGGGGATAAGATCTGCCCCAGAGTAATGTGGGAAGGGCTGCTAAGAATATTTGTGAGGTACCTGGCCCTGTGCTGGGCCACTGACAACAGGCTCCAACAACAACTGTTTTCCTTCCTCTTCCCAACATCACTGGCTGCTGAACAGTATTATCATACAGTCTTGTTCTCCTCAATATCTACTTGCTGGCCTCTATACGCCCACAGGGCTTTAACCTCTATGATCTTCCATCCATCTCTTCAAATCCCAGGATCACATTTTTAAAAAGTACAAAATCCGGAAGATTGATGGGACCTAACATCTCTCATTCAACCTCTCCTGTGAAGCCAGAAATGCCGTTTTTTAGGTCCCAGACTTACTCTTTATTTCTCACTCAAGTGTCACCTTTTAGGTGCCAGGGAGATACCAGATACTCAACAGATATTTGCCACTTGCTGGATGAATTAATGAACGAGGCTCTATGAACTCAGGCCGTTCTATTTTTTGTCTAAATCTTACTATACCTATTCTTTATGACTTACTCTGCCTTTTCATTCTTCCATTAAAAAACTCAAGTGTATCCCATATTTCCCCTGGACTCCCCTCTCACCTATCCAAGATACCTAAGAATATATAGCCACATATATGTATATGTTACTTCATATTTATGAATTATTATAATAAGCTTGCATCTTGAGATTAGATATTTTAAGTTTGTACATTGCCAACCAACTGGACTGTAAGTTCCCTGAAGGAGAGAAGAAAAAGACCATGACATTCCCCTCTAGGAAAGTGTGTTTCCCAGTAAATGTTGGATACTGATGATCAATGCTGAAAAGTACTCATGAGTGTTGTTACTAAAGTACTGAGAAGCAAAGATCCCCATGGGGCACTCCACTATTTCAGAAAGGATACAGCAATTAGACAGGAAAAGGAAGGTGAGCTCTTATTGGGATTCTGTGTACCTCTTTTTTTTTTTTAATTTTTTTTTTCAACGTTTATTTATTTTTGGGACAGAGAGAGACAGAGCATGAACAGGGGAGGGGCAGAGAGAGAGGGAGACACAGAATCGGAAACAGGCTCCAGGCTCTGAGCCATCAGCCCAGAGCCCGACGCGGGGCTCGAACTCACGGACCGTGAGATCTTGACCTGGCTGAAGTCGGACGCTTAACCGACTGCGCCACCCAGGCGCCCCGGGATTCTGTGTACCTCTTAAGGGAAATCAGCAGTCCATCTCCTAGGGAAATGCCTGGCAGGCTTCACGTAAGAGGCTCCCCCAATAACTAAATGCTCCACTCAAAGGTTGCATTTACACAGCTCATTAGGAGAATTTTTTATACTTTTGACACACATTAGACTCGTAATCGTCCACCAAAGCTACTCTATAACAAGAGATAAACACTCCATTCTAGAGGATGAATAATAATTAGGTACTGCTTAGCACTGTGCTCTTTACAGGTCTAATTTTAGAGCATAATTAATCCTGCTGAAGCTGCATAAGATAAGTGAAATATTTATGCAGTTGTGTTAATTCATGTATTTACTCCTAGAGAGACATTCAGAATTGGACGTGCCTTTGCGAGAAGATTATCTTAAGACACCCCCTGGAGCAACGTCATTTTCTCTCTAATGTCTTTGCTTCCAGATGGCCGCTAGAGATGAAGCCGAGAAGACACGTGTCCCAATCCTGACAGTCTGACCAGGAAAGCAATGATTGAGGACAGAAAATATGTGTAAGAATCTAGATGCTCTGCTACTACCAGAAACACACTTTTGACCTATCTGGATGCCTGTATTTTGTATTTTTTATTTGCCACAAAGAGCGCATTTTATGTTCAGCACCATATAAGTTGTTTCCATGATACTATTAACCACCAATACAATACTAAATAGGCTACACTGAATATTGGAGTTGTGGATGGACAACAATGAGGAGGAGGTGGAAACTGGTAATGATGAGGATGGTGGTGACGATGATCATGCTGGTGATAAAATGGTGATGATGATGATGATGATGATGGTGGTGATGGTGATAAGGACAGTGATGATGGTGATGGGGATGGTCGTGATGGGGATGGTGGTGATGATGGTGATGGGGATGGTC